AAACTTCAAGTTGTTGTCGACTTCTAGGCTTGAATTTTCAACTTGCTTTCAGTGTTAGGTTGGTACAAGTAATCATCGAGAAGAGTTGTAAAAACTATGAATATATATTAATTTTAATTATTATTTTAAAATAATAAAAACTAATATTAAAATTATTTTATTTTTTTTTGTAGTTAAAGTTAGCCTCTTTGGCTTTCTGCTTTTATTAGATATTAGAATTATGTGGTGCCTTTTTCAAGAGGATCACATTCTGACGAGAATACATTCTAACCATACCTGCACTTTTTGAGCGCCTAATTAAGTATCTACCTATTACTAGGTTCTATACTAGATGCTGTATCTATAATCTACTATTACTTGAGTTATCCAATTAAACCCTCTGATCTGAGTTTCCTATACCAATCCATCTAATCTTACCCGGAATATATGATATATAAGTTAGTCCAAGTTCTAGGGTCATTGTGTACTACCTATAGGTAGGGTGACTAGCACAGGTAAAAAATTTGGCATGCCAACTGGCATGCCATTTGCTAAAATTTATGCCCAGGTGCCACCCCTGGCATGCCACAGGCATGGATTATACATTACACAAGATCGAGTTATATAGAATCGATATCGATATTACTAATAAACTTGTATTTGTAAAGAACGAAGCTTAAAAGCAAATCTTAAAAGTACACTGTATATAATTTTCTAAAAGCTCGCACAAGTAAATCTAATAAATTTATTTAAAAAAAAACCTATGAAACGATATTTATGGATTTAAAATCATTCAAAACTCAAAATAAATATAACCCTTTTTTCAAAATTTTTTTTTTACTTTTTTTTTTTGATTACGCATGAGTTACTTATTTCTGTAAATTTTATAACAAACAATGCCTTTTACTTATCAATTCAATACCGATCTCTGAATAATAATAATGCATAACCTGATACAATCCATTAGATAATCTACGATTGCAGATTTTGGATAATGAGTCATATTAAATTGTGGAAGGTCAGAAGATATCATCAATTGACCAATCTTTATTGGCACTGGTATTATCTTGGGTATGGGAACTTTCTTCAATTGTATTCTGTTTTTCAAAAGTTTTAATATCAAAAAATTCCTCCATTACTGAATCATTATCATTCGCATCAAAATCCGGCAATTCGACATCTATCTGTAAAATCTCATCTTCATCAAATTCTTCAAATAAAATATTAATGGTGGTATTTTCAAAGTCTACATTATCTGTAGGGTTCAATGAATTCTGACCTTTTGTTTTAGTTTTTTTTTTTAATATTTCAGGTAATTTTTGCTGAAGGTCATGGCGAAGCATTCTGAGCATTCCCAATAAAGTTGGAGACATTCTATTTCTGGGTTTTGTTTTTACCAAACCCAGACTAGAGAATAAATGTTCAACTGCTGCTGCGTGTGGAACAATTGCAAAGATCTTCATTGCAAATCGTCGAAAAAATGAAAAGCCTTCCAAGAATTGGGCTCAAAAGGTTCTTGGATTAAAATCATTAGCATTTATATGAGTATCAAAATAGAAATCACCGTTTTTATAATTTATAAGTTCCTGATATAAAAGGGTTGTTTCTGTCTTATCGAAACCCCAAGTTTTTGCTAATTCTAAGATGGCTCTAATAATTGAGTCTCCAGATATCTTTTTTGAAATTGCTACTTTTTTGTAATTAGGTGACAAAAAAAGAGCAATAAAATAAATGTTATCAGAAAATTCACGAGCATGCTTATCGATAGCTATCAAGGCATGATTTTGAAGCCCGAATATTGAAATATCCGCAGAAGAAATAGTATAATGAATAGTTATGAATTCCTTAAAAATGTCGGCTAACGTAGCATCTCTCAATTCAAGGTGACCAATGGCATTCATGATAGGAATAAGGACTGTTATTAATGTATTATTATTGGCAAAATGATGACGATTAGAAACTATATCTTAAATTTCTTTTTAAATGGTAGGATAATCATTAGTTTTACTATGAGCAATACAATGCTGAAACCCTTTTTCATATGATTTTATTCCTAAGCAGACTTTTGCAAGGAAATACCACCAGGTTTTGCAAAATGTTGTAAGCGAATGTTTTAATCCTTCTTTTTTTCCCCAATCTTGCAATACACGGAACCAGAAATGAGAAGATGTAAAAAAATTAATAATTTTTTGATTATTTTTAATAATTGGAACCAAAGGTGGAAAACCGGAAACATCTTTTGCAAGTAAATTGAAAGCGTGAAGACAACAACGAATAGGAATAATATTTGGATGGTCATTTTTAAAGTTATTTTTCATTTTATTCATCACGGATGGATTATCAGTTATGCAGGCAATAATAGAATTAATAGAGACTGAATTGGATTCAAGAATCTTTTCTAACTGTTCTTTAAGAAATACCGCTGTGTGCCAGGTTGATAACAAATCAACAATGTCTAAAACATACTCCTTATTTTCTTTTAGGGCCATAAAACCATAAACTGAATTTTTGGATATGTCTTGCCACCCATCCAAAGTGACAGTAATATCAGTAAAAGTTGTCATCGATTTGAGCTTCTTGTCCAAGTAAGTTGAAAATGAATTATTAAGAATGTTAGTTCTTAATGAGTTGGCAGAGGGTGGGTCATAGTTTGGAGCTAATTCATCAAGAAATTTAAGAAAATAAGGATTCTCGATAAATTTGAAGGAAATGTTACCATAAATAATAGCATCAAGTAATTTTTTGTCTATCTCAGATCGTTTATCCTGCAACATTAGTTTGACAATCCAATTTATCAAACTTTCTTGACATTTTATTCCTGGAGATGACGAGCTATCAATAAGTGTTCTAAGAACTTCTATTAGCTAAGTTAAAATATTTATATTTTATAATATTTTAATTATATACATTGATTGTTCTTGATCAGAAATAGAACCAATTTTAATTTTTTTTTGAGAATTAGAACTAGTAACTTTTTTAATATAGTCACTTTTAACAGTGGCAGACCAAGAATCGCATTTAAGAACATGACTATGAAGCCTGTCAGATCTACCAGGTAGTTCTAAATTACAATAAAAACACTTGGCTTTATATCTATTGCCTGAGATTTTGTCGATTGAATGCCAAAACCCAGTCTATCGATTATTATGATTTGTTATATCAGGAAGAACGAAGCCAGTAGGAGGTTGAGATTGCATTATAATTTTTTTTCAATAGTATCTTATAACGATAATTGAAATATTTATTATTTAAAGGTAAGGTCTTTATGAAAAAGGCGTTAGATAAAAGATTTCTTTATATATATTTTTTATTATATTGAAAAATTTTTGTAATGTCCTATGCTATCATAGTATGCATCATCTTATATCAAGGATATGAATGATACAAGTGAAAACCTGTAAATTAGTAATTTGATCTTTGTTATTAATTCAGTTAAATTTTGAGATGTTACGATTAAAACAAAGATTCAAAATACAGATTTACAAGTTTTTTCGATATTATATTATCTCTTTGTCTGTAAATTTCATGTGTTATTTGCTTTAGCAGACAAATTCACCTGCTTTACAGATAAGATAATAATACCTCTACTAACTTTTGTTTTTCGAAGGAAGATATCTTTTAATATGAAAGAATAACCTTATTTAGAGATCACATATGTTAATCACATTATCAAGCATATATCAGGAAGGTCATAAAAGGGATTTATTACTTTTACAATTTTTAATTCATTCAGGAGACTGCAACTGTGAGCATAATTCTTGTAAAAATGGGTAAAATAGGTATTTAGAGAATTATATATTAACACTAATTATTTTTGGCTTTGTTATTGCTTTTCTTATTGATAATAAGCAAATTATTTTGTTTTTCCCAATTTAATCTAATGGTAAATAGCAGCTTGGTGACCACTTGACAGAACAAGACTTTGTGGCTACATAGTGGTATAAAAACTTGAATCATACAGTATGATATTTAGTCTATTTGTCATGAAAAGCGATTGTAAATGATAGCATAATCATCTCAGTTTACAAAATGATGTATTTTGTAGATCGCAGCTTAAAATCAATTGCAATTACCTGAATATTATTCAATTGCGTGATTGCAAATGTTGATACCGCAAGCTAAAGATTATGGCAATACTATGTTTATATTGAATCCTTGGCTAAGAAATACAATTTTGCAATCACACAATCGAACAACAATCAGGTGATTACGATTGGGTTGTGAGTTACAAATTTTATGTGGCATATACAATCTACCTTTATTGTTGTGTGTGAGATGTTATGCCAATAACCAAAATTATATTAGACGTGGGTAGTGAACTTATAGTTAGGTTTAAGCGATTAGAGATTTCGATCAGTGTTAATTTTTTAGTTAAAATTTACTGTGCAGATACCGCACAATTTGAAAGCTTTTCTGTACGGTAAATAAAGAGAAGCTTTGAGCAACTGTTTACAAGTGTGTAGTATCCGTATACTGTTCAAGAGATGCGCAAAATTTTGTTTCTGTGTGCTATGCACAGTTCGCACAGCGAAAATAATTTTGATATTAAATAAAATCAAACTAAGTTTTTACTATATATAAATAAAATAATGTCTTTATTATATTAAAACTTGTTTATAGTAAGAATATTATACAACATATATAGATAAATTTACATAATACATTTGGTTATAATTTACTAAATACAATAAATTGAGTTTTTTTATTATATATACAAAAATTGTAAATGAAATTGAAATTTGAAATTTTTTAAAATTTTAAAATTAAAGTATAAAATAAAAATTAAATTTATTAAAATTTTGTTCTTATTTATATAATATATATATATATTCAAGTTTATAAATATAATATATTAGTTGGAATAGATATTTAAATAAATATAGTATAGTATATCTTTATTAATTTATATATTTATATATAAAGTGACATGCCAAGTAGGTTTTATAAATTTTGGCATGCCATTGGCATGCCATGACCTGGCATGCCAAATAGTGGCATGCCAGTTACCCTACCTATAGGACTATCAGCATTACTAATTCATCCTCAAGTGCATCATCTGCTAGAGCAGTCCAGTACCTACTATTACCGTATTATCTAGTCTACTTCGATAACTTACACCTAGACCGAGACCAAGTACTTGCGAGCTGAAGCTGCTACTGTTACTTACTATGCTCTTATAGAGTTCATCCAGATCTCAACATCTACTATACAGACTATCTGCCATACACCCATTATTCCAAACTTCCAATTCAGATAGCCTGGAAGGGCTGTGATCTGTCCTTGATCCCCTTGGTTGGGTCCTTTTCCTCTGGTTACTCTCTAGCAGCCTAGTTGATGGAGTGCCTTGCCAAACACTTTGGTCCTGTTCAGTTTTTTAGTTTCCTAGTTGATAATCCTTTATATAATACTGTCAAAGATCTGTATTATCTCTCTATTCAGGTCTTGCCAAGCAGACTTTCATATGCGCTAACTTCAGATTTATACGACTGCTTTACTCGAATTTTGTGTAACTCATACATTACACTATTGTTCCACAGTCTCCTAGTACAAGCTGGTATAATCTAGTTATAGATGTCGATCCACCTTTACACTCACAGTTGCCGTAACACTGTACTAAAAATTCAAATTTTTTCATCGCTAGTGGGATTTGAACTCTGTTTCTGCTATTTGAAGGTGCAATAACTTCATCACTTCACTAAGTGCTACACCCTTATTAAAATTATTTTATAATTTAAAGTTAACACTAAATTTATATGCAAAATTTTATAAAAAAAACTTTTGTTAAAGTGCAAGAACCTATTTTATACCTAAAATTTTTAGTTATTAGAAGTTTTTTAAAAATAAAATTAAAAAAAATTTAAAAAAAAATTAAAAAACTGCTCTGAAACAAGGTTTGGTACTAAGTAAACTAACAAGATTGATTAAGACAACTTTGTTTTTCAGACCAAGGCGGTTCTAAAAATGGTAAGATCATTAAAAACGGTCTAGTAGATCTCTTTCTATGACTTTTCAAAGTTTTAAAACAATTATTTGCATAAATTATATAATTTAGACAATCATTATAAAACTTTGAGAAGCAGTAAAAAGAGATCTACTAAACTGTTTTTAATAATCTCACTATCTTTAGAACCATCTTGGTCTGGAGAACAAAGTTGTCTTAATTGATCTTATTAGTTTACTTAGTACCAAACCTTGTTCCAAAGCACTTTTTTATTTAATTTTAAAAATATAAAAATAAATAAAAAACTGCTCCAAAACATGTTTGGTACTAAGTAAACTGGTGAGATCAATTAAGACAACTTTGTTTTTTAGATCAAAACAGTTCTAAAGGTAGTAAGATCATTAAAAATGGTTTAGTAGATCTATTTTTATGGCTTCTTAAAGTTTTAAAATAATTGTTTGTATAAATTACATGATTTAATTAATCATTTTAAAACTTTGATAAGCTATAGAAAAAGATCTACTAGGCTATTTTTAATAATCTTACTACCTTTAGAACCATTTTGGTCTGGAAAACAAAATTATTTTAATTGATCTTGTCACTTTACTTAGTACCAAACATGGTTCCAGAGCAGTTTTTATTTATTATATAAATAATTTATAAGTATAGAATATGTGTAGAATATATATAATATGTATAAGATATGTATATGATATGTGTAGAATATGTGTAGGATATCCTGCATCAACTTTACATATATCAGATATCTGATAGATATATGATATATATATAATAGGTGTCAGATATGTGACAGATTTTTATTAATATCTGTCAGGTACTCATCTGTTACTTATCTGATATTTGATATTTATAATTGAACATATATCCTACATATATCTTATACATATCCTATATATATCCTATACATATCTGCATATCAGATATATATAGGATATGTGTAGAATATTTTAATTTCGACCTGTATATGAAGCTATATTTATTTGAATTGATTATCGCATTGTTAAGACTATAAATCATACTTATCTAAATTATATAAATGCTAGTCCTTTATTACAATATCTCAGACTTTTTATCTATTAAACTATCCTATAACATCACTATATATTTTTGAAGTTAAGCACTTATCTCTTAAACTGTATTGGAGGCAAATTTGCCCCGAATTTGACTAAAAATTTATAATTTGTCAAATTATTCAAAAAATTATTAATAGTATAGAGTCTATAATTCTCATAAAAAATATTCTATAATATATATTCTATTAACTTTATTACCAATTTTTTTTTGATTTTATTAATTAATTTTTAAATAATTAAACTTTAAAGTTTAAATTTTAAAAAATTCTAATATTAAATTTAGTTCAAATTTTATAAAATTTATATGTTTTCAAAGCTAAAAAATTTTTTTACTTCTAATACAAGTCCAAATTTTTATAACAAAATCATAAAAACTATAATAATAAAAGTTATTTTTTTTAATAAATTCTATTAAATTCTATTTTATCAAAATAAAATACTTAAAAAATACTAAGTTAATTAAGAATAAGTAATTAATTTTTTTAAATTATAAAAATTTTCTAAAAATACTAACTTTTAGACTAATATATAACCTAAATTTTTTTTCTTATAAATTAAATTTAAATATTATAATTATATAATCCTTATGTTTATATATTAATTAAAAAATATAAAATTAAATATTTTAATTTTTTAAAAAGTTAAATCATAAATTTTTATATTTAAAAAATTCAGAGAAAATTTGCATACAGTTTAAGGGATAAGGTCATTTGATCATATAATATACTATGCAAAATAGCTGCTATTTACTATTTTAATTTATTAGTTTTTTATTAGCTTAAAAAAAATTATGATATTTTTTCTTTTATTATACTATCAATAAATATATAAGTTATTTAAGAATCAAAAATATTGTTTGGTTAGAAAGTAGTACTAATGCAAACTGATATTTTGATTGAACAATTTTTTTTAAAACTGTTGAAAACTACTTATTAAATAATTATTTTAAATATTTTAATCTAATTAAAAAAATTGAAACTCAGTGTAAAAATTTTAAAATTACAGTCAATCAAAATATTAATTCTGAATACAATCTGTAATAGATTATAGAAAACATTATATTTTTTACTACTTATATCTTAAACAACTTGATTACTAATTAACCAATACACCAACCCTTTTAATATTATACTTAATACTCAAAATTTTGTTATACTTTCAACATGAAAACTGAATAACAATCTAAATAAAAATGAACAATTACAAAATAATATATTAATATAGATTAAAGAAAAAATGAAAGTAAATTTATAACTCTTTACTGTAGATCTTAATTTTATAAGTAAAAAATAAACAAAATAAAAAAAAAATAGCAAAAAGTGAATAGCACAACTATACTAGAACCCCGAAATACACATAAATAGGCCAGGTTAATTATAGAGTTACTAAAAAAAGAAAGATCTGCAGAAAAAAAACTTTAAAAATAAGCAAAAAATTATTATAAATAGAAAAGATCTGTATAAAAAACCTCAAAAATAATCAAACTCATACCTGATCTATCTATGTATATTTCGGGGTTCTACTATACTATAACTAAATAACTATTATTACAAAATAATGATATGGCAACAGATAAGCTTGCTAAAATTAAATGAAATAGAAAAAAACAGCTTTTTGTACTCCAGTCTCCTTTCTAACTCTAATGCTGACTATGTCAACAACTAACAATAATAATAAAAACAACAAAAAGCATGTAATAAGTTCTCAAGTAAAAAAGATACAACTTATACACGTTTATATAGAAAAGGTAGCCTGATAGATACACAAAACATAAAAAAAAAGCTTAAAGCTGTTAATAACACTTCAACTTCTACACTACCCACTACTGATTATGATATTTTTGAAGAAAATACTAGAGAAATAGCAAATCTTAGCTTACTCTCGAATCTGACAGAAATGATGTCATCACTTTAAACAACAACAAACCTAATCCAGAACCTAGAGCAACTCTGATATATAATTTTCCCACAGACAAACAAATCGAGCAGGTCCTGACCAAAGCCTTTATTATATCTGGAACAGTTCCTCTTGCAACAGAACAATATAGAAAAATAAACAATCCAACCTTATTAGAATCTGAATCTGAACCTAATCAGCTAGCAAACATTTTACCTAATATAAAAATAGACCAGAACATAATAAACTCAGATAGTAGAGACAATGAAGAGACTTATTCTATTGACACAGTGTTAGATGAACAGCTACAAATAAAAATATTATACAGCCAAGCAGTTAGCAAAAATCTTTCAAACAAAACCAGAAAGATTCCAAATAGGTACTTCATCAATAACAAAGAAAAGGAATAACAAAAATGTATACAAGCAGCCTTAAAAGAAATCAGACAAAAAAGATTGGAGCTCTTTGATACAACAATTTGGACTCATCCAAAAATTAAAAATACATTAACTTCTTTGCAAGACCTCAAAGAATTAATAAAATACAGTCAGACCCTCCTAAATGCACCCCCTTAATGCAGCACCCTTTAAATGCATAATATCAGCACGGCCTGTAGTAGGACTTATAGATAAATGTACATTCTTTATTCTGTAAATGCATGCTATTTTTTTAGCACATTTATAATAAGCTCTCCCATAAATGCATTTACATAATTTCAGACTAATCAAATCCTTCAATGGTTCCACATAACCTATGATACTGCATTGATCAGAAAAAATAATAGCCAGATTTTTTGCTGGCTTCATAACTTCTAAATTGATTGTCTATAAAGTTATATTTACAATAATAAGCATTAAAACTTCACTTTAACTTTCGTTTGATTTTCATTTGACCTTTGTTTTGACTTTTATTTTAACTTTCTCTTTGACTTTCACTTTAACTTTTATTTTAACTATCATTTAGAGAATTTTTGTTGTATTGAATTCACAAAATATAATTTAAACCAAATATAATAGTTATATCGCTAAAATTATGTATGGTTATTTGGTGCCTCATATTATGGAAGACATAAGTTATATGTAATACTTATTCTGCAGATAATTTTATCATTATAAATATCGACATGTTCAATGTTATTAAATTTTTGGTTAAAAAATATTGATAAGAAATAGAAAAGGCTTCATAATTAAAATAGACATCAAATAACACGAGTAGTTAAGTGAGTAGGTGCTGATATTAAAAAAAAAGTAAGAATTTGTCAAGATGTTATTTAAAAAATCATGATTTATTAATATCTTTCACTAAAGTTTTAATAAATCTATATTTTTGAAAGTGCTTAAGTACTACTATCTGTTTTGCAATTTTCGAAATAATAAGTTTTTTAATTTTTTTTTCAATTATTTGCTAACGAAGAAGCTTTGAAAGCTTCATGTCTCTGTATTTGATCTTTGATATTCGTATCACTATAATATTTATATTAGTTATCTAATCATAAATATATACTGTAATCATTGATGGGAGAGCTTAAGAAAATAATAGGGATAAAGGCCAATTTAACTCCAATGGTGTACAGGGATAAAGATAATCTCGGAAAAACAAAGGGAATATAATATTTTAAAATAAAGGCTTTAATATTGATAGAGTGGTGATGCTATTAAGGATATTTTAATAAGGAGGATGAGGTAAAGCAGACAATAATCAAGTAATATCAGGGATAATTTTAAGTTTATATGAGAGATTACCAAGGTCGAATAACCAATTATAAGTTACATTCTATATCACAATTCTCACAAGTCACTAAAGTGAATGGCAATATCTGATTCCACCAACATTCTAGAATCCCAGTTTTAATAAGCCAAATTGAAGTTACAAGTCAATTCAGTCCTTCGAATTGAGTCTCGAAGGGGTTTATTAAAGTTACAAGTGAATTCAAAGATAAGTATTTATTTAGTCAGAAGTTGGACAAGAGATTTATTTAATGATTGAAAAAAAGATGTTATCAATGATGAAATGGAAAAGTTATCCTTTATTATTTGATATAGTTGGTCTTTAAATACATTTTGAATTTTGGATGCGTTTACTTCCCAACAGCTACGTTTACACTACTTTCACTATATTTATACAGCCCTAGCTATATTTACACATCTATTGTTTAAGCTACTTCCTTGTGATTATGCAAGTAGCCTATTGTAATAGGTTCAAATGGCTACATTTATATATCTATTATTACATTCTACATGCCTTGAGTAACATCTATATGATTAAGTCACCAAGCCAATCCATTATTATTATTTTAGTATAAGGCTATTCGAAGTTGATTCTTCGATTAACATCACTTTTTAAAATACCCAGAAGGGGGTAAAATGAAACGAACATATAAAAATAAACAGATAAGGGTCAATTTCATTGGTCGATATAAATCAAGTGATTGGTGAGAGTTATCCAGCGTTTTGATTGGTTGTTCATTTTTCGGAGAAAACTTCAACTGAGGAGAAGGAGGTAATATTAATCAAAGAAACAACTGCAAGTGGCCTAAGTTATGAAATAATAAAAAGAAATTAATAAATCTACTAAAATTGGATATTGTTACCAAAATGGATGGTGAATTATAAATAAGCTATATACATGTAGATATTTTACTGAAAAAATGAAGGATTTATTTATAATAATAAAAAAAAATAAAAAAATAAAATTTTAATTTATTACAATATATAAACACATATATACATATGATTTATTGTACTGAAAATCATAATAGTAGTATAGCAATCAGTATCCAAAAATCATATATAACTAATTATAGATCACATGACAGCAGATATACAGCAATCTTATTGGCTATTCTCTAATTGCAACCCTTTCTAAATACACACTTTAGAGCTAGTCCTGACGGTGTGCATTTAGAGAAGTCTAACTGTACAAACTTTTAACAAACCTACTACTAATCATATCCCAATTGCAATAATAGCAAAATTCTTTCATTAAGATACAGTATTTTTTAGAAGCTTTACTCGAGTTCTAGTAACTAAACCTCAATACCAAAAAGAATTTAACAACCTATTTCTTAATGCCTTAGAAGCATATAAAAAACAACATGATGTCTTAGCTACAAATAAGAAAAACTGAGACTAGATCTTTGAACTTCTACAGGTAAAGTTAGCTCTGGACTATCTAACCAACCTAGATTTTAACTCTTTAAATGCTTAAGAAATTACAAGATACATATTTTATTTAGCAGGCTTTGCAAAAATCTCAAACCATCTTGACTTTAAAACAATATGACAGGCAATCTTAAACCTTATCACAGATGTATTAATACCTTTATCTGCCAAACCGAAACTGATTTCCAGTTATCTACAAAAAGCAATTCCTTTTATTTTACTAATTTCAAACAGACAACTTATTGCACCTGTAGTTAAGACCTTACGATTAATATTCTCATTTGATAGAATGCTAGATGCATATATTGCAGATATTAGAGAACCTCTGTTTACTTTCTACAAACAATTAAGAGTTGAAGTATAACATTTATTTCCTATTACAAGCAGAGCAAATCTATAAAAGCTAAGCCAATATAGAAAATCACTGTAAAAGCTCTACTTCTTTAACCAAATTCTAGTAGAATATTTTGACTTATCCGCTTCTAAGCAACCTCTACCATGTATCCCACAAGACTTAATACCAAAACTAAATAGATATTTTTATTTCTGCTCAAAAACCAAGAAGACTTTAAAGAGCATATCAGACTCTTATGAATAGACTACTCATTTACAAAACTTTTTAATAATTATATTATTTCTTGCAGACATCTGTTCTCAAACCCAGTGTAACTAAAAATAACAAACTTTATATTTTCTTTACAAAGTAAAAAGGAGGCAAATACTTTTACTAAAAGTATTTCACCTATCTATAATATTTCAATACCACTATCATTAGTATACTGTAACTTCAACTATACAGACCTTCCAAACTTATTTGAAAATATTAATCTAATTATTCAGGTTAATTTGATACTACCAATCTTAACTTCTAAAGAATTAAGCATTGTAGCTAAAGCACTATATGAATACTACTATTTTCATATAATACTTCAATCCTGAATTAATATAAAAAAAAAAAAAAAAGAAGAAAAACCAGAGACAGAATTAAACCTAACAAAAACTACTTTTAACAATTGAACAACTTCAAGCGGCCCTTTTAGAGAAAGGAATTACTGATATAAATGTTTCTATAAAAAACACTACAATATTCCTTTAGTGTTAGAAACCCTTCAAAAACATTTCATATACCATATGATATCTGAATATATGTGATCTTTGCTAGGAAAATCAAGTTTCAGAACCACTTTAATCAAAATAAGATTTTGATCGTATATTAATCTTTAGTATAGAGATAATACTTGACATAATTTTTAGGCAAGATTATCTTAATACGAAAGTAGTCTTTTTTGATTCCAGATTTTTTTAAATATAGGATCTAAAAATAGAATCAGATGTTCCATTGTCACATGATATAGATTGTCAAAGTTCATTTTTATTGGTCATCTATTATCTCTTTTTTTTATCGATTTAGGTCCCAAATTTCTGCTAGAGCATTAGCATTAGTTGTCATCACAAATACTATTACTGTTTTGGGCTACTTTAGATTCTTTTGAGTTTTGTGATCTTTGCTTCTTGTTTCATTACTATCTCAGATTTTTTGTCACTGTCTTAGACTTCCACTAGTTCTTAATTTCTGCTTTACACTGATTGATTCTTGCCACTTTGGTCCCTAATCTTTAGATTTTTCTTTCTGCTTTGAGTTCTTGATTTCTAAATCAGGCTCTTTGATCTTTCAGGTCTTCAGGAAGCTTCTTGATCTCTACTTCAGGTTCTATCACTACCCTGGGTTTTTGTTCTTTGCCCAGGTTTTTTGATAATCTTTATCTCAGGTTCCTCAATCTTTGCCTCAAATTCCTTGATCTTTGCCTTAGGTTCTTGATTTTTGCTCTAAATTCTTTCATTGTTTCAGGTTCTTTGTTATTTTATTATTTTTTGCTTCAAGTTTTTTTATTGTTGCTTTTAGTTTCTCGATCTTTGCCTCAGGTTCTCTGTTACCACTTGAGTTTTTGATCACTAAATCAGACTTTTTATATTTTTTTTAGATTTCTGTAACTGTTTTGGGTTCTTCGATCTTTGCTTTAGATTTTTTGTCACTGGCTTGGGTTCTTTGATCTCTGTTTCAAATTTTTTGTTTCAGATTTTTTGTCACTTCCTTGGGCTTTTTTTATTTCTGTTTTGGAGTTTTTTTTGCTATCTTAGATTTATGAACTCTACCTCAAGCTTTCTGTCACTACAGCAGGTTCTTTGATCTCTGCTTCAGGTTTTCACTGCTGCCTTAGGTTCTTTAATCTCTGCTTTAGGTTTTCTGTTGTTGCCTCAAGTTCGTTGATCTTGCTTCAGGTTTTCTATTACTGTCTCAGAGTTTTGATCTCTGCTTTAGGTTTTTTGTTACTATCTCAGGATTTTTATTGTTGCTTCGAGTTCTTTGACTGTTTTTTGGTGTTTGGATCCTTGATCTTACTCTGGTTTGTTGTTTTTGCTTTAGGTTTTTTATTATTCTATACTTTTTCTTTAATTACTAATTACTATATCATACTTTTAATAATACTGTTTTAGACCTTTAATTATATTATTGCATTTGGCCTTTAATTTCTATATTATGCTCTTAATTACCGTATTGTGCTTTAAATCACTATATTATTTTTTTTAATTGCTGTGTTCTACCTTTAATCACAATATGATATCTTCATATCTTTAACTACTGTATCATGATTTTGATCACAATTTTTTTTATTCTGATATGTTTTTAATAAATTATTTATTTAAAAAATTTATTAATTTTATTTGATAAAATAAATATGGTGAATTTATGTATAAGTGTCTAAAAAAATGAAATTAATTACTTATAAGTGTTCAAAGCAGAAATTTATTGTAACTAATTAAATTGCGACATTTATAATTCTATAAATGCAATTCTTTTGACAGTTAAATATATTACTTTTTATCCTCTTGACATCTTATATGCAAAAATTATAAACATCTTTTGTCGATCTCAAAGTAATTTAGCTTTATTAACGTGTAGTAACCTTCACAAAATATAATTTATATTTCATGTTTTATAACTAATTTTGGTAAAATAAACTTATTTTAGAACTGAATGAATATTAAAATATTGATCTTAATCCAGTCAAACTATATCTTATATAGTAATAATGCTCAAAGAGTCACTATCATCAATTATTGGTAAAGATATAGACTTCTACATGGCATTTAAGCACCCTCATAAGGAGTTTTATGGCTTTATGCAGAAAATTCAATATATACTCACCATCATTGTCTCCTATTTAGAAGGGTCTGGAGGAATAAAATTCAACTTAATACCTCTTTTACTACTTATACCTATGCTTGGTATGGTAGGAGCTCCTTTGCCAGAGCCCCAGGATTGATAAAATTTTTTTAAAATTTGGGTCCATAAATATAATTACTTTCGCTTTGAACCCTTATTTGTAATTATTTTTATTTTTCGGGCCCTTATATAAATCTCCCAATAAATATTATTTATTTTCATCTTTAATTTTTTCTAGATTTGTACAATATACATCTTTATACAAGTCATCTATATGTTATCTAATTTTGTATATAAATAATATTTTCTTTCCTTTGTTAATAATTTAATAGAAATAGTTTTTAAGGTAGTGTGAATATCAAAGTTATACTTGCGCAATATTTGAAATGAAATTTCTGGCGCACCCGATTCAGTTGATGCATAAACTTTCTAATATCTGTAAGTAAGCTACTAAATTTAAAATGGTAGTATTGTTTTATATTGGGAAAATTTTTAAAATAATCATTAAATAATAAAGAAAAGTCATGCCAAGCCCAACCTAATCTATCATTATATAAAATTGCTTTGTTTCTTTTTGAAGAATTATTAATAAGGCCACACAAATTTAATTAATTGATTTTCATATCACGAACTGGTGCCAAGTGACACGGCCGCACAGATTTTTTTTTTTTTAAAAAAAAATTTTTTTTTTTTAAACTATATAGTTATAAAACGCAGTAGAAAAGCCCTTCATAATTTGTATCAGGTTTA